ACATAAAAATCTCTTAAGTTAGGATTTGGTTGTTAGTTTAAAGTTCAACCACACAGTGAAGAATGTGGGTGGGGGAAAGAAAAGGGCTAAAGCATAAATAGAAATTAAAACGAATCTTGAAAAAAAGAAAAAGAAAAAAAGAAAAAACAGTGATCAGGATGAGAACATGTAAATAACAGGGAACAAAGGCATCCAATCTGAGACTGCCAGTACAAGTTAGGAGAAAGTCTAACAGCCAAACTCAAAAACAAGATGAGTGACGTGTCACTGTTTTCCCTTTCCTTGTTCCCCCCCCCCCCCAGGGTCTTACTATGTTGCTTAAGCTGGCCTTGAACTCGCAGGCTCTGCCGAGTGCTGAGGTTAAATGTGTGTGCTTCTTGAAATGCCATTTTCAAAACACAAGCGCCACTTCTTACCCCGCAGAAGATTTCTACAGTACTTAGCTGGACACACATCCCTGCAGTAACCCTGAAGTCAGCAGTAACGTCTGAAAAGCTTGCCTGACATTAGCTCAACAATTCTTGGTACTTAGTGCTGTGGTAGAAAAGGCATGCTTTTGAGCAGGGAGTAGCAACGTTTAAGTGATACTTCACTTAAAGTGGGAACAGCATTTTATGTAAAAGAGCAGACTGAGTGCTGTGGTGAGTGTGTCCTTAAGAAATGGGCCCAGGTGCCCGAGAGGTGGTGGTGCACGCCTTTAATCCCAGCACAAGGAAAGCAGAGACAGGTGGATCTTTGTGAGTTCGAGGCCAGCCTGGTTTACAGCACGTGTTCCAGGACAGCCAGGGCAATATAGAAAAACCATGTCTCGAAAAAAACAAAATAAAAATTTAGAGAAAGAAATGGGTCCAGGTAATAGGAACAGTGAAGACTGGAGGCAGGGGGTGGGGAAGGCGGCAGGGGATGAACTTTCACGTGTGGGGTAGTTTCACAGGCTTTTGAGATCTGATAACCTGGGCAATTTTCGCCTAACTTCTAATTTTATGAGAATGCATGTCTCACTGTGAAATGTCATGGTGAGGATTCATACTAGTGCAAACATGCACGACCGCGCCTGTGATACTCCGAACAAACCTTGCTTCCTCAACTTCTTCCTGTCCCAAAGGATCGTTGAGACTTGCTTTCTCAATACTTCTTCCCAGGTTCCCATATTTATGCCTTTCCGAAGTCCTGAGGACGTAACGCACTGTTCAGTCATCTTGGTTTCTAAAGCGAGCCAAAGTTTCTCCCCTAACGAGGCTCAAAGTAATCCAACTCCGGTTCTGGGAAACTCCAATCCGTAGTTTTCCCCTGGCTCTGACTCGCCCGCTGTCTTCGCTACTAGAGCCCTGAAGATGTTGGCTGACCAGAGTCCACCGGTTCCCAGGGGGCGGGACCAGCTCTCTAGCCATAGGAGTTGGAGGCTGGGGCCGCAGCGAGAAGCACACGGGCGCCAGGACCACAACTCCCAAGATGCCTCGCGGCAGCACCGACCACAATTAGCTGGCTCTTTCACTCTCACTGGCCAATTGCATGGCGAGAGGGGGGGGGGGACAAACGCCAGTTATCGAAAGACCAGTAATATAGCAGAGGAGGCGGGCGCTTCCTCATTGCTCACCTTGAGCTCAGAAAACCTAGCTTTAAAAGGTCGTGCGGAACCGGAGCCGGCCTGTCGCGGGCAGTGCGGCGGCAGGCCTGAAGGTGCGGCTGCGAGTAGGAGAGCCGCGACGGTCACCCAGCAGACCTCGCGCAGGGTGTTACGGCGGCGCCGGGGGCGGCGCCGGGGGCGGGGCCTGGCCTCGTTGTGGAGCAGCTCGTAATCCATCATGGCGGCCTCAGGGGTCGGTGTCTATCTCTGAGAGGCGCTGGACCCGGAGCCGGTTGCAGGGTCCTACGGCTAAGAAGGGAGCCATTCCGCAGCACACACCCCCAGTGGCTGGAGAAGCCGGGTTCCTCGGCAGCGCCGGGGATGTGACTGCTCAGCGGCGGCAGAGTCCGAGGCCGGGGGAGGGGTGTCACGGAGAGACCCCTGGCTCGGGGCAGCTGAGGCGCCGGGCCTCCTCCCCTGTGACCGCCTCCCGGTTCGGGACCGCGGGAGTCCTTCGTCCCTTACAGCTCTGCTCTAGCTCTGGAACATCCAGGGTGGTCTCAGTTTCAGCCTACCTGGGACACTCAGTTTCCTGAGACGTGGAGGAGCGTCGCCCCGAGTAAGCCGCCCGCGCCCCGCCTGGGGAAGTCTCTTTCTCACCCCGAGGCCGTCCTTCGCTCGATCCCAACCCCAAGTTTGGCCACGGAACCCCTCATTCAAATCATCTCCCTGCTGTCAAGAGATCTCCGCGGTCCTCCCAGATTGCTTCCGCCGGCCTCCGATGTCCTGACTCCTTCCAATGTCACCTACAGCCCCATTGGTCTCAGTGCAGCCCAAAACTTTAATGCAAAGGAAAAGTCTGGATTGGTTTCACAGGCCTTTTAAAAAGCGGACTTAAAAGTTGCTGGCCATGCATTCCTTCTCGGCGGAGTGGAGAGCAAGCTCTGGTTGAGATCTGTGTGACCGGTGTCTTTCCGGAGAGCAGAGTAGGGAAGAGAGGGCAGGAAGTTGGTTGGAGAGACAGACAGATAGGGGATTGGTGACTTCCACAGGAGAAGGTGCAGAGAGCCGTCAAAGATGTTCTGTTTCCAGCCCGCTGGGGAGTTGAAATGACTTTTAGTACTGTTGTTCCTTTTCAGACTTCCCTGTGGACGTTTCTATCTAAAATTCTCTTCTTGCAAAGAAACTCTTCCTCAGCCCTCAAAATACACTTAGAATCAAGAAACTTTTGGGTAGCGTTGCGATTACATGACTTCAAATTAACCAACTTGGAATAGAATTCCAGACTCCTGTTTACACGTGTGAACCTCAGACCCAGTTTCCCGTTCTCCTGGAAGTCGTCTTTCTGTGATTGACCCCATTGTACTGCCGTGGGAGGCAGTGGTGTGAAGTTCTGGGTACATACTGTTTCCTGCTAATCCCCACGGATCATTCTGGAAGATCTTGAACCCTCTTCTGGAAAAGGGTGCCTATCATTCATTGCTTTATGGGGCAGCAGCCTGGAAAAGTTCTTGGGGACCAAAGAAGGCCTAGTTTGCCCGCCCTGCATTTTATCAAGGGGTCAGGGAAGCGAGAGTCATCACGGCATGGGGGTCCACACTGCAATGTGTTCGTGGAACATGGTGAGTGCTTTCCCTTTAGCGTCAAAGGACTTTCTGAAACAGTACTGCGTCAGCTCCTGCTAGATCTGCTTGGCGTTTTTTTGCTACTGTAGTTACTAGTTAGTGGGGGAGCAGTTCTTTGCACAAGAAAATGATGACTTTATTCCATCTGTTTCTAGCCAGAGTCCACTTCTGGTTTTTTGTTGTTGACAAGGGTGGGGCAAGCCCTTTTCTGTTTGGGGGCCTGCCTTCTGTGGGGGAGAGGACAGGACTTAGGTGGCCTTGAAGCATCCACAGTTCTCCCATCTATCTGCTCTCACTAAAAGTTGGGACTCTACTGTCCGGCAGGGATTTTTGGGGAGCGGGGGCGGTTGTTTGGTTTTTCAAGACGGGGGTTTCTCAGTGTAACAGCGCAGGCTGTCCTGGAACTCACTGTGTAGACCAGGCTGGCCTTGAATTCACAGAGATCCTCCTGCCTCTGCCTCTGAGTGCTGGTGCTAAAGGTGTTCTCCACCACCATCCGGAGAGCATGGATTTTTTTTACTGCACTTGTATCATATCAAACTGTTGTGGACTGAAGAGTTCCACCAGAACCTAATTGATACTATCTTTGACCTTCTCAGTTATGAGCAGATCTTGAAAGTTCTCAATTTGGAGCAAGGTGGCAGAAGTTGAGTGTGGAAGCAGTGTGCCCCCCTGACCTGAGGAGTGCTCTGTTACTTTCTCTGAGGAATAGCCCTGTTCCCAGTGATGGAGCTTTCTTCACCTTCCTCTCTCCTGATGCTTAGTTGCCGATGACATTTTTATTAATCTTTTATTTAATTGGTTCATACTGCTGACCATACCTGTTGTGTTGATGGCTAACAGTTAAGGTCAGCTTGGACTAATGCTTTGCCAAGGCCAGCCAGGAGCTAGTTAGTCAGGGGCCTGGTTGTACTGTGGCAGTGATACTGCTCAAACTGAACTTATTGAACCATATATAGCCTGTGCAAGGGTCTCGTATACCTTGAGATTCAGTCGTCATAAATACTTCTTAACAATAGTGACTACTGTAAACAATGACTGCTTTGGGGTGAACTTTTATTTGAAAATTGAAGTTTTTTCTTAAGGTTTAGTTTGTTTTATGTGTAAGAATATTTGATACCTGCAGAGGTCAGAAGAGAATGTTGGATCCTTTGGAACTGAGTTAGAGATAGTCATGAGCCACTATGTAGATGCTGGGAATTGAACCTGGGTCCTCTAAGAGCAACAAGTGCTCTTACCTGCATAACTGTCCCTCTAGTACCTCTTTTTTGTTGTTGTTGCTGTTAGTTTTTTCTTTTATCTATTTATTTCCTTTTATTTATTCTATTTATTTGTTCATTTGTTTGTTTTGTTTTTTTGAGACAGGGTTTCTTCGGTAGTCTTGTCTGTCCTAGAACTCTCTGTAGAACAAACTGACCTTGAATTTCCAGAGATCTACCTACCTCTGCCTCCCAAGTGCTGGAATTAAAGGCGAGCGCCACCATTTCCTGGAATATTTTTTTTCCTTTTTTCGGTATTTATTTATTTAAGATTTCTGTCTCTTCCCCACCACCGCCTCCCATTTCCCTCCCCCTCCCCCAACCAAGTCCCCCTCCCTAGTCAGCCCAAAGAGCAATCAGGGTTCCCTGCCCTGTGGGAAGTCCAAGGACCACCCACCTCCATCCAGGTCTAGTAAGGTGAGCATCCAAACTGCTTCCTGGAATATTTTTAAAAATTTTTATGTGTATGTGTTTTGTCTGCATGTATGTCTGTGCACCACATGTATGCAGGGCCTGTAGTGCCAGAAGAGGGCATCAGAAACCCTGGAACTGGAGTTACCAGTGGTTGTGAGTTGCTATGTGGGCTGCTAGGAATCAAACCCCGATCCTCTTGAAGAGTAACCAGTGCTCTTAATCACTAAGCCATTTCTTTAGCTCCTTTTTTTTCTTTTAATTATTTTTAATTACGTGTATGTCTATGGGTATGTGCACATAAGTGCAGGTGCCTGTGGGAGGCCAGAGACATCAGCTCCTCCCTGAAGCTGCAAGAGCAGTATGCTCTCCTGACTGCTGGGCCACCTGTCTAGCAAGTGTGGGCAACTTGGTTCTATTTCACTTTGATCAGTAGTTCTTTTGAACACTGATGTGAAGTAGACAAGTGTGACAATTTGCTAAGATACTTCAAATTTACCACTGAGAACATTAATTGAATGTTATAATCATAGTGATTAATTATAATCTGCTGATTTTGATGTAGCTTCAGAAAGTTGGTGAAGACTTTCAGAAAGTGTCGACTAAACTGGAAACATGACCCAGGAAGCTCACATCAGGAATCCTGGCCTAGGTGTCTCTGATACCTCTCAGGAGTTCGGAGGGGAGATGGGTCTTATGTAGCTTAGGTGGGTCCCTAACTCAGTACATAGCAGAGAAAGACCTTGAACGGTTCCCATGGTCTATTCTCCCCTCCTCAAGTGTTGAGATTATAGGTGCTTCCAACTTGCCTTCTCCTTTTGTGTCTGTGTATATAAAAATAAACTTTATTATCCTGGTGTTGATGGTGCACACCTTTAAACCCAGTACTTGGGAGGCAGAGGCAGGAGGATCTCTGTGAATTTGAGGCCAGCCTGGTCTATAAACCAAGTTCCAGGACAGCCAGGGCTGTTATACAGAAACCCTGTCTTGAAAACCAAACAAAACCCACAAACTAACAAAGTTTATTAATTATCATTGTGTGTCTGGGATGTCTATGTCAGAGGACAACTTTGGGGACTCTGTTGTCTCCTTCTACCTTTCCAAGGGTTCCAGGAATCAACTCAGGCTGTCAGGCTTGCATGCCAAGAGTCTTCAGCCCATCTTGCCGGCCTGTGTACATATTCTTTTGATACTCTGAGACCTAGTGGGAATGTGCATAAACTTTGCTATATACTGATGTGAGACAGTGTTCCTGGTAACAACACTGCAGCACCTGTTGGCGTGGTCACCCGAACAGCCACCTTTTCATCTTTCTTTTCTCTTTTGTTTTCTCATTTGTCATTTTTACTTGAAACTGCAACTGGTAGACTGTGGTTATTTGTATTAAAATTTATTTTTTCTTTTCAAACTGGTTTTAGAGAATTTGTATTGCCACTGTGTTGCCCATACCAGTCAGGGAACAGTCAGGGAACCAGCGTTTTCTAAGGGATCAGTAGATTCGTAAGCTATAACGGTTGCACAGAGGGGAGAGGTGCCTTCATACTGCAAGGTGAGGAAGTGGTTTTCAATGTCCCTTTAGAGAAGATCGTCGAGACTTCAGATTCTGCAAGGCAGGCAGACTTTGAGAAGCTTAGGGAAGAGCTATGCTTATCAACCAAGTTTACTTGTTTGGGAAGAAGCAGATATTTAGTTTTAAAAATAAATAATAAAAATGCTTAGTTTTGCATGAATAAATGGATATATTTAAATTTTTCAAGTTTATTTTCTAATATGGACAGTATTTGAGATAAGCCACATAAACTAAAGGTCTTTTGGCCATCACTAATTTTCTAAAAATATAGAGACATGAAATTAAAAAGTACAGACATGCCTTTAATCCCAGCACTCAGGAGGCAAAGGCAAGTGCAGGTAAATTTTTATGAGTTCAAGGCCAGCCTGGTGTGCAGAGTGAGTGCCTTGACAGTCAGGACTACACAGAGAAACCCTGTCTCCAAAAACTAAAAAACAAACAAACAAAATTGCAGACCTTGATCAGTGTGGTGGTAGACACCTTTAAGAGGCAGAGGGAAGCTGGCAGATCCCTGTGGATTTGAGGCCACTTAGTCTATATAGGGAGATCTAGGTCAGCCAGAGTTACTTAATGAGACCCTGTCTGAAATAAAATAAAATAAAATAAAATGCATAGGCCTGTCATTGTAGGAAGTCCATTCAAGGCACAAAAGGATGTTTTCTGCAGGCATGCTTCTGTTTAATCCTCTGCGTATAATCCTGTTTGAGCTTGAATGTGTCATGTGTGTATGTGGAAGTCAGAAGCCAACTTTACATACTCACATCTCTTTCCTCCCTTAAGTAGGTGTTGGAGGTGAAACAAGTCATCAGGTTCGGTGGCAAGAGCCTTCTCCACATACTTCAAAGAGCCACCAGTGAAGGCCATCCATGTTACAGTAAATGGGAGAAGAAAGACATTTAGAGGCTTATTCTATATAGTTTGACTCCATTTTTTAAAAACAAACAATTACTTATTATATATGTAGAAGTATGAAAGGATTTTAAAACAAAATTGCTGTTTATAGGGAACTGAGATTTAGGGGAGATAGGGAAAAAAATTAGGTTTTTTTTTTTTTTTCTGAGTCAGATCTTGTGTAGACCGGCATGACCTGGAATTCCAGCTTGGCCATCTTCCTGCCTCTGCCTCACATTCAGGATGACTGGCAGGAACCATCATCCCTTCTTAAGTTTCGTGATGTTCCAGATATCTTCTTACAACAAAAGTGTTTTTTGCAATAAAAAGATAGGTAGATTTGTAATCTGAACTAATGACTCAAATAGTTACTTCTTTGCTGCACGCTTTTTGTGGGAATTTCCTTGCCCTGTTTGAAGATCATTTTCCTTAACTCTGAGGGTTCTTTATCTGAAAGACTATGAACTTTTTAGTTCCATGAAGTGTCCTTCATCCTCCACAGACTGGGTTTTTCTAGGGTTTGTTTATGTCTATGTAGATGAGACAGAAAAACCTGAGGTCTAACACATGGTGTGGGGCTAAACAAGAGTTGGAGGCCAAGAATCATGTGATGTGGTGGTTGCAATGGTGGTGGTGGTTGTGGTGATGAAGATGATGGTGGTGATCATAGTGTTGGTGGTAGTTGGTGGTATTGTTGATGAATTTTCTAGGGGTAAGCAGATGGTAACATTTTGCCAGGATCATTTAGGGTGGAAATGGTTTAGTCATAAAGAGGAAAAAATGGACTCTGGTATTTTTTTTTTTTTATGTCCCACATATTCTTTTTAAATTTTAGTGACTTGCCTAAGAACAATCCACTTTTGGGA